CCCAACAATGGCACAGTAGCTCACTGAAAGGTTTGAAGAGTTTTTACGTTTTATTTTTCACCAGTGAAATGCATAATTTTCCAATGAATACAGCGGGTAAAATAAGTATTGAACACGTCACCATTTTTCTCAGTAAATATATTACTAGAGGTGCTAATGACATGAAATTTTCACCAGATGTCAGTAACAACCCAAATAACTTCATTTCTGGACATTTATGGTTTGATTTCTTTGTATGTATGGATCACTTGGGTTGTTACCGACATCTGGTGAAAATTTCATGTCATTAGCACCTCTAGTAATATATTTACTGAGAAAAATGGTGACGTGTTCAATACTTATTTTACCCGCTGTATTCATTCATTTTGAGTTTGATGCTGCAACATGTTCCAAAAAAAGCTGGGAACCTGTTTGTTCCACAGGTGAACATGTTAATTGGAAACAGTTGGGGGTTATGACTGGCATAAAGGGAGCATCCCTGAAAGGCTCAGTCGTTCACAAGCAAAGATGAGGTGAGGTTCCCCACTTTGTCAACAACTGCATGAAAAAATAGTCCAACAGTTTAAGAACATTTATCATACAGTTGCAAGGAATTTAGTGATTTCATCATCTACAGTCTGTAATATCATCAAAACATTCAGAGAATCTGAACAAATCTCTGCAAGTAAGCAGCAAGGCTGAAAAACAACATTAAATACCCTCAGGCAGCACTGCATTAAAATCCTCATCATTCTGTAACAGGTGGTCTCAGGAAGACTTCAGAAAACCATCATCAGTGAACACAGTTCATCTCTACAGCTACAAGTTAAAGCTCTATCATGCAAAGCCAGATATCAACACCCAGAAACACAGCCGGACCTGAAGGACTGAGACAAAGTGGGAAAGTGTCCTTTGGTCTGACCAGTCCACATTTCAAATGTGGAATTATTCCGGGGGAAAGAGAAGTTTGGATTATTATCAGCACACAGTTCAAAAGCCAGCCTCTCTGATGGTATGGGGGTGTATTAGTGGCCATGGGTAACTGTCACATCTGTGAAGGCTCCATTAAAGCTGAAAGCTACATCCAGGTTTTGGAGCAACATGTTAACATCCAAGACACGTGTTTTTCAGGAACGTCCTGCTGATTTCAGCAAGACATTGAAGAGACTTTATGTGTTCCTGCAGCGCACCTTCACAATAAAAGACTTCAGGAACTAGACTGTCCTGCCTGCAGTCCACACCTGTCTCCTGTTCAAAATGTGTGGAGACCCCAACAACAGAGACCCCCGGACTGTTGAGTAACTTGTGACAACCTAAAATGTTGCACAGTATTTAGATAATTGTCTTCACATGTTTTTTCTCACTGCTGACCTAATCATTAATTTCAGTCACCTGTGTTAGTCACAGTGACTATCCCTTTAAGAGCCGCCCACACACTCTGTGTGTTCGTTTCACTTGATGGCCAGACCCAAGCACACAGCAGCCTTCCAGTACCTGCGTCATCTTTAAAGTTTAGTTACGAGGAGTTTAATCCCTCTAACAACTTTGTTTCAGTCGTGGAGTCAAGGATTTATGCTGAAGCCGAACCAAAAACATAAAGAGTCTGCTGGAACCGACGCCCAAAAAGCTTTGTGTTGATGTGTCGCTCCCCACAGCAGTTACCTCTCACCAACAAAACAAAACATAAGTCTCCTACAAAAAACTAAAATTTAAATGTAAAAATAACTAAAAACTAAAGAAAATCAATTATTTTTGTTTTCTTATAGAAACCACAAAACCTAAAACACACCAGTTGCTCTTAACACACTTGACTCAGAAAAAGTAAGTCTGCTTTGTTGTGCATTGTTTGTATTTTAATTGTTTTTGTAAATAATATATTTTGGAAAACCTTATTACTTTTGTTTGTGCTCATTTTCTTAAAGGAGACCAATTATGGGTCCAAGAAATGTTTATGGTATGTCTGTGGGCTGACCAGACCATGTTCATTCAATTTAATGCACAAAATAATTCTCAGATAATAAAATTTCCCATTTTCTAGTTCTGCCTGCTCTGACTTCTGTTCAGAAGAGATGTTTATGTTAATGAGCTCTGTTGGTAACGCCCTCCAAAAATCTGTTGACATTAACTCCGCCCTCCAAAACCAGCGTTTACGTTAGCATGGCTAATAATAGCAGAAGCTCCGTTGTACAACCATATGAGACCCAGAGGCAGAGTCGTGGTCCCAGCTTTTTTTTCTCCCCCTCCTCTGCTCTGTGCTCACTCTGCATGCTGTTACCAGAGCAGGGAGCAGCAGTGGTCAAAACACCTCAGAAACTCGAACAAATAGGCTTTAACAAGGCTTTAATAAGCTAAACAATAGAGGTACAGGTGCTGGTCATAAAATTAGAATATCATGAAAAAGTAGATTTATTTCAGTAATTCCATTTAAAAAGTGAAACTTGTATATTATATTCATACATTACATACAAACTCATCTATTTCAAATGTTTATTTCATTTAATTTTGATGATTACAAATGACGACAAATGAAAATCTCAAATTCAGCATATCAGAAAATTAGAATATTACTGAAGACCAATAAAAACAAAGGATTTATAGAAATGTTGGCCAACTGAAAAGTATGAACATGAAAAGTATGAACATGAAAAGTATGAGCATGTACAGCACTCAGTATTTAGTTGGGGCTCCTTTGGCCTGTATTACTGCAGCAATGCGGCGTGGCATGGAGTCGATCAGTCTGTGGCACTGCTCAGGTGTTGTGATAGCCCAGGTTGCTCTAATAGTGGCTTTTAGCTCTTCTGAATTGTTGGGTCTGGTGTATTGCATCTTCTTCTTCACAATACCCCATAGATTTTCTATGGGGTTAAGGTCAGGAGAGTTTGCTGGCCAATTAAGAACAGGGATACCATGGTCCTTCAACCAGGTACTGGTAGCTTTGGCACTGTGTGCAGGTGCCAAGTCCTGTTGGAAAATGAAATCTGCATCTCCAAACAGTTGGTCAGCAGYAGGAAGCATGAAGTGCTCTAAAACTTCCTGGTATGTGGCTGCGTTGACCCTGGACCTCAGAAAACACAATGGACCAACACCAGCAGATGACATGGCACCCCAAACCATCACTGACTGTGGAAACTTTACACTGGACTTCAAGCAACGTGGATGAAGTGCCTCTCTTCTTTTCCTCCAGACTCTGGGACCTTGATTTCCAAAGGAAATGCAAAATTTACTTTCATCAGAGAACATGACTTTGGACCACTCACCAGCAGTCCAGTCCTGTTTCTCTGTAGCCCAGGCAAGACGCTTCTGACGCTGTCTGTGGTTCAAGAGTGGCTTGACACAAGGAATGCGACAGCAGAAACCCATGTCTTTCATACGTCTGTGTGTGGTGGTTCTTGAAGCACTCACTCCAGCTGCAGTCCACTCTTTGTGAATCTCCCCCACATTTTTGAATGGGTTTTGTTTCACAATCCTCTCCAGGGTGCGGTTATCTCTCTTGCTTGTACATTTTTTTCGACCACATCTTTTCCTTCCCTTCGCCTCTCTATTAATGTGCTTGGACACAGAGCTCTGTGAACAGCCAGCCTCTTTAGCGATGACCTTTTGTGTCTTGCCCTCCTTATGCAAGGTGTCGATGGTCGTCTTTTGGACAACTGTCAAGTCAGCAGTCTTCCCCATGATTGTGTAGCCTATAGAACTAGACTGAAAGACCATTTAAAGGCCTTTGCAGGTGGTTTGAGTTAATTAGCTGATTAGAGTGTGGTACCAGGTGCCATCCATTTTGAACCTTTTCACAAGATTCTAATTTTCTGATATGCTGAATTTGAGATTTTCATTTGTTGTCATTTGTAATCATCAAAATTAAACAAAATAAACATTTGAAATATATGAGTTTGTATGTAATGTATGAATAAAATATACAAGTTTCACTTTTTAAATGGAATTACTGAAATAAATCTACTTTTTCATGATATTCTAATTTTATGACCAGCACCTGTACATGAGAAAATGTGTTCATAACGAATGAAAATAAATAATGAAATAGTGTTCGTGTCAAACCCTGGTCTCCCACTCTCTGGTCCAACACTCTACCCATTGCCCTATTGGAGGTTTGTTGTGAAATGAGCTGCACATTACACAACAACCATGAAGCTTTTTATACTGAGGAGGTGGAGTCTCACCCGGGGGTTGCTAAGTCAGGGGCTGAACGCAGGTTCAGGTGGGTTGTCGTACGGCTTGTGACATCACAAAATGACGGAAGTATAAAACTTGTCGTTAATATACATTAAAAATACATTTACTTACAGTAAATATGCCCCTGGGTGCATTTTTTTGCTCCTAGGACTGTTTTTTTAAGAAGTACATACCCAAAGTTGAGTAAATAAACCTTTAAAAAGTGAATTTTGCATAATAGGTCCCCTTTAAACATTTTGTCACTTATTATTTAATTAGGGTTTAAACAGGGTGTATAGTTATATTTTTCTTTTGTGTAATCTATGTCCTGGTGTGATAGGTTAAAACAAAACTAATTCTAAACCATATTAAAACTAACAGTAAAATCCCACAAACCGGTAAAACATCCTATTTGTCAGGAGGGATACCTGGCTGGCACCCCAAATAAATCAAAAATAAATAGCAATAAAACAATAACCAGAACCGTCACAAACTGAAGCTGTTCATCAAGTAAGAAAGAAAGAGTTCAGCTCCAAAGCTTCAACAATCAGTGTCCTCAGGTCACAAACTCTGAGTGTTGTTAAAGCTGATAGAACACAGAGGGAAACATGAACCTGGATCAGATTTATGACATGTTGCAGCATTAAATTCAAAATGAGGGAGTTTGTTATAAAACAATAAAGTTTATCTGTTTAAACATTAAACATCTTGACTTTGTAATAGATTAGTTTAAATAAATGTTGAAAAAGATTTGCAAATCATCTTATTCTGTTTTTATTTGTTTAACACAACGTCCTAAATTCATTCTAATTGTGGTAGAAATTCAAAAAATGTGGACCCCCTTTTAAAACCACAGCAGAACAGTTCAGTCTGCGGTCAGAACAGTGACCGTGTGATGTTACCTGTGCTGCTCAGGTGAACGAGGCGGAGGAGGAGCGGCTCTGCAGCGAGCAGGAGCATCAGAGAGTCACTCTGCTCTGCCAGGATGCTGAGGCACGAGTCCAGACCCTGCAGAAGTCCCTGAGGAAGGCCATCCTCAAGTCCAAACCTTACTTTGAGCTCAAGGCTCAGTTTAACCACATTCTGGAGGTTTGTAGGCTTGTGTTTGCTATGGTGTGAAAATACACACAATACATCACAATCACAACACATTCTGAGCAGCATGGCTTTATTCCATGTTTAAATCTGTACTAAATCATTTTCTCTATCTTGGTGTGAAAGGCGGGAATGCTGGGCCTTTAGTTTCCTTCTAAAATCAGTGAAAATCAGTGAAAAATAAAACCTTTGTGATTAGTGACGTAGAGACAAACTTTACACTTGAACTTTCTGTGAACTGTCTTTCAGGAACATAAAGCTAAAGTGCTGCAACTGGAGGAGCAGGTGTCGAAAGTAAAAACCCGTTACTTTGTGGCGTTGCGGAACTTGGAGCAGATCAGCGAGCAGATCCACGCGCAGAGAGCACAAAGCGTGGCCCCCGAGGGGCGGAGCTCCCCTGTCGGAGCTGAAGCAGAGGTCCAAGGTGCCGCTGCCGCTCCCGTCAGCACCTGTGTGGGCGTCAGCGGGATAGAAAGCGCCTGGGCAGGCGGGGAGAAGACCAGGCTGTGGGTGGAGAGGCACAGAGAGAGCGGCTGGGGTCAGAGGGAGCGGCTGGAGGCGGAGCCAGCCACCGTCGTCAGCTTACAGACTACTGCCTCCGACCTGGAGAAGTGTGACTCGCTGGAGCACTTGGGTGACCTGGGTGATGGTGGGAGTGAACTGGGTGAGGAGTGGGGCTGCCACCAGAACAGGCCACTTAGCAGGGGCATAATGACTGGGGGGTCTCAGCTGGACAAGGGAGGGGTCTGTGAGGAGATGCAGGACAGTTTAATTAAACAGCATCAGAGAAGTTTTAGTCTATGATGGTCAGCAGGAAACAAAACAGTTTAAGTTGGAAAGAAGAACGGACTGAAGGATGTGTTCTAATTTATTTTATCTCAGGGAAGAAGCTCAAATCGAACTACAGGGTGTATCAGAAAAAAATGATACTCTCAGAAAAATCACCATAAAATTAACATAAGCTGTGTTTCCATTGCAAACGTGCGCAAAACTTTGTCGATATTCCGTTAATGTCGAAAAAACAGTTTCGCATGTTTCCATTAAAGGCACAGTGTGTAGGATTTGTTGTTTTCAGCGACATCTAGTGGATGAGTGGTTGAATCATCCTCCCTGGTCCTCCCCCCACCCCCACCCCCCGCTTCCAAACSCAAAGGAGTTGCTACRGTGTCTCTCAGGTGTCAAAAACCTTTGATAATTCCAACCDYGATGTCTAYCAGCAGCTTCAGGGCTAGTGATGTTTCAAGTGGTAAGATTATGAGCTTTAATAAGTMAAATTATCCCAGCTACAATGACAGACAACAAATATTACATTTATAGTATTACAACTAAAACCGTTTTTGACGCCGCCACCGCAGTTTGTCCTTCATGAGCCTTCGTAGACAAGATGGTGATGCAAGATGGCGGTGCAAGATGGCGGCTCTCTGTAGGGCGACCTGCGACCATGGAGATATAAACAGCTTTTTATAAGGTAAGAAATGCTATTAAAGTCAATTAATTATTAAAGTTTTTTTGGGAAATTGTAGTTGGTGAGTTTACTATTTTATACTACTTCTGTGATATTACTACTACTTCTTCTTCTTGTTATCTTCTTCGACATCGTCTTTTTCGCCAGTAGAAACAGCCGGTTGTTGATCACGTGACTCCTATGGTGCGAAAAAAGTGTTTCCATTGCAGTTTTGCGAAAAACACCAATTTCGATACGGCAGCAATACCACCTCATCCTAGCGCAAAAATATTTTGTCGAAAAACGTTATTTTTTTCAAAAATTGACGTGTTTCAATTGAGCAAATTTATTTTCGAAATTCTAATTTGCGCATTTTCATGGTCAATGGAAACACAGCTAGTGATAAAAATTTTGAAAATGTGGGCGTAACCTTTGGTAGAAGGGATCATTCTGCTTCGAATGACACCAAAATCTTCGTTAACGCTTCACGCTCCAGTGAGCAGGGACAGTTGGGAATTCACTAAATTCATGTCACAAGGAAATGTGAGGGTTAAAATACAATCTGTCACATAAAATTAAAAGTTTAGATGGTTTTTAAACGCATGTCAAGGCATTTTTAAAATAATTAACCCTTTCATGTCCTAACGTCGAAACAAAAATATCTAATTTTTGAGTGGATCATAACCAAGGGTTAACAAACACGTGAAGTGGACGTAGACAAGTCAATCCATCCAACTAACATTACATGTAATGTACTGTACATGTATATGTACTTGTATTCAGTGGGTATTACATGTAATTATTCCATAAATGGGACCCATCACATCAAAACAAGGATTAAAGGCACAGTGTGTGGGATTTTGTCAATTCTTTTAGCCAAAATTGAGATAATCACTAATGACAATAATAAAAAACACATCTAATCATTGCAGACAAAGACCTTGTTTTATTATTTTTACCTTATAAAAAGCTGTTTATTTCTCCATGGTCGCGGGTCGCCAGTACAGGCAGCCACCATCTTGCACCGCCATCTTGTCTACGAAGGCTCATGAAGGACAAACTGTGGTGGCGGTGTCAAAAACAGTTTTAGTTGTAATACTATAAATGTAATATTTGTTGTCTGTCATTGTAGCTGGGATAATTTAACTTACTGTATTAAAGCTCATAATCTTACCACTTGAAACATCACTAGCCCTGAAGCTGCTGGTAGACATCGCGGTTGGAATTATCAAAGGTTTTTGACACCTGAGAGACACCGTAGCAACTCCTTTGTGTTTGGAAGCGGGGGGTGGGGGTGGGGGGAGGACCAGGGAGGATGATTCAACCACTCAACCACTGGATGTCACTGAAAACAACAAATCCTACACACTGTGCCTTTAAGTCTAAAAGTGGTTTATGGAAAAATAGGCAAACATAGAGTTTTGATTAAAACGTTTCCAAAAATTGCATTTTGTCAAAACATAATGAATTAATGCCTTATCAATGTATCATTTGAATGAACTGTCTGAAATATAATCATAAGACAAATGTTTGAAGCATTCTTTTGAGCATTAGCAATAAAAACACTGATTTTGAGCAAAAACGCCTTAATATTTAGAGATTTTTCCTGGGAGCTAGAAATGTTTTGTTTCATTCCAGCTGGGAAATCTCAATATTCAAAAAATATTTGACGTTTCTTCTTTATATGGACATCAAAAATTCCTCATTGAAATTATATAAAATTAGGATTCAGACCAAGTATTTTTGTATTATTGTAACCAACAAGACAAATTAAGGCATATCTCTGGATCTACTTATATCAGAATGATCCAGGTATCAAAACGTAGCTTATTAGGTTATTTTGAACAAATTTGAGTTAATCTTCATTTCGATATGATGGGTCACATATGTGATTGTGTGGTAATTTTCTTTCATTAAAACAACATGATCACAAACATCACCTTATCTTCTGCAGACAATTGCAACAATTGTTCCGAGGCATCTCACTGTCTTCCACAACGTTAACAAGTACCGTGCTTCTGGAACCAGCCACAATCTCAACAAAAGGAGGTCCGGCCAACAAAGGACCCAATGCACACCAGCCAACACTGAAGCAGTCAGAACCCTCTGAGAAGAGCAACATGCTGGAGAAGCATGAGAACCCTAACATTTGGAACCTCATGTTGGAACCGCTCAAGAACAGTGCGATTTTTGTTTGGAGGTATTCAGTAACCAGGAAAGACCTCTGCTGAGCGGTGAACTGTGGTCGATCCATTCTACACCACACAGGCTGAGGCAAGAAGAGAGACACCTGCCCAGGTGCTGACAGGTTTTATGTCCAGGAATTAAAATGTCTGCATAAGATAAGGTGATGTTTGTGATCGTGTTGTTTTAATGAAAGAAAACGACCACACGATGACATGATCTCGTACCAGGTTATGGAGTAATTACATGTAATACCCAATGAATACTGTTGGTTATGATCCACTCAAAAATGAGATTTTTTGTTTCGATGTTAGGACATGAAAGGGTTACTTATTTTAAAAACACCTTGGCATGTGTGTAAAACGCCATCTAAACTTTTTAATTTATGTGACAGATTGTATTTTAACCCTCACATTTCCATGCACAAAAGACATGAATTTAGTGATTTTCCAACTGTCCCTGCTCACTGGAGCGTGAAGCGTTAACTAAGATTTTGGTGTCATTCGAAGCAGAATGATCCCCTCTATCAAAGGTTATGTCCACATGTTCGAAATTATTATCTATGTTAATTTTATGGTGATTTTTCTGAGAGTATCGCTTTTTTCTGATACACCCTGTATATTTTATCCTGTTGACACAAAGTCATTTCAACAGAGCTCAAGACAATCGGGTTGTAAACAAAGAGAAAACTCAGTCAGATTTAATTCTAAATGTAATCAAGGCTCATAAATACAATTTTATTAGTGTTTCAGATCATCTAACAAGTTTAATATCCAAGATGAGCTGAATAAATACAACATGCCCTTTTTGAATGAAGATTTTATTTATTACCCTTGGCCCTTTGTAAAAAGTAATAAAATTATGAATGAGCTGTTTTGGTTTGGTTTGGTTTTTAATTTAGTTAGGGTTGTTTTGTTTTGGTTTTTGTTCTTTGTGTTGATTTGGTTTGTGTTGGTTTGGTTTGGGGCTTTTTGTTTTTGGTTTGTTTTTCGGGGTGAGGTTGGTGTTGGGTTTGCTTTTTGGCGGGAGGTTGGTGTTGGGTTTGTTTTTTGGTGGGAGGTTGGTGTTGGGTTTGTTTTTTTGGGGGAGGTTGGTGTTGGGTTTGTTTTTTGGGGGAGGTTGGTGTTGGGTTTGTTTTTTGGGGGGAGGTTGGTGTTGGATTTGTTTTTTGGCGGGAGGTTGGTGTTGGGTTTGTTTTTTGGGGGACGTTGGTGTTGGGTTTGTTTTTTGGCGGGAGGTTGGTGTTGGGTTTGTTTTTTGGGGGAGGTTGGTGTTGGGTTTGTTTTTTGGGGGGAGGTTGGTGTTGGGTTTGTTTTTTGGGGGAGGTTGGTGTTGGGTTTGTTTTTTGGGGGAGGTTGATGTTGGGTTTGTTTTTTGGCAGGAGGTTGGTGTTGGGTTTGTTTTTTGGCGGGAGGTTGGTGTTGGGTTTGTTTTTTGGGGGAGGTTGGTGTTGGGTTTGTTTTTTGGGGGAGGTTGGTGTTGGGTTTGTTTTTTGGGGGAGGTTGGTGTTGGGTTTGTTTTTTGGCAGGA